CTCCCTTAATTGATACAACAGGCTATACATGTCCTCTCCCTAAATATATACAACAGGCTATACATGTCCTCTCCCTAAATATATACAACAGGCTATACATGTCCTCTCCCTTAATTGATACAACAGGCTATACATGTCCTCTCCCTTAATTGATACAACAGGCTATACATGTCCTCTCCCTTAATTGATACAACAGGCTATACATGTCCTCTCCCTTAATTGATACAACAGGCTATACATGTCCTCTCCCTTAATTGATACAACAGGCTATACATGTCCTCTCCCTTAATTGATACAACAGGCTATACATGTCCTCTCCCTTAATTGATACAACAGGCTATACATGTCCTCTCCCTTAATTGATACAACAGGCTATACATGTCCTCTCCCTTAATTGATACAACAGGCTATACATGTCCTCTCCCTAAATATATACAACAGGCTATACATGTCCTCTCCCTTAATTGATACAACAGGCTATACATGTCCTCTCCCTTAATTGATACAACAGGCTATACATGTCCTCTCCCTTAATTGATACAACAGGCTATACATGTCCTCTCCCTTAATTGATACAACAGGCTATACATGTCCTCTCCCTAAATATATACAACAGGCTATACATGTCCTCTCCCTTAATTGATACAACAGGCTATACATGTCCTCTCCCTAAATATATACAACAGGCTATACATGTCCTCTCCCTTAATTGATACAACAGGCTATACATGTCCTCTCCCTTAATTGATACAACAGGCTATACATGTCCTCTCCCTTAATTGATACAACAGGCTATACATGTCCTCTCCCTTAATTGATACAACAGGCTATACATGTCCTCTCCCTTAATTGATACAACAGGCTAGACCTATGAATGTCCTTTCCCTTCAGATATTCAACATTCTAGACCTTTGAATATCTTCTCAATAAAAACAGATAGCTGACTATACCTTTTAAAACCATTTGTCAGGAAAACACCTATTGAATATACAAAACAGGCAATGTCTATAAAAGTCATCTTACTAAAGGTAAACAGCAGGCTAGGTTTAGGAAAACTAAATAATACACAGGTGAACGAAATTATCTCCCCTTGAAATAATGCATGGATATCGAAGGATAACAGATATTAGATTTATTCATGAAAAATATATTATAATTAGGTTATACATTGAATGTGATTAGAACTTAAATCTTTCGTAACCATTTTAATGACAACGTGGGTTATGAGGTTCTGTAAAGTAGATGCTCGTTGAAATTGTATTAATGGAAATACTGATGCTACATTGATAAATATCTTTAATTAACTAAAAGATGCAGTGAGAGAATATACAAATACATATTCTTGAAAGATGGCATCAAACATCTGTTTCATCCACTGTGTATTCGTTATTCTTGTTATTGATACTGTTATCAATGATAATAAATGCCGAGCTAAACACATGTATAATAAATCAAGGTTTTATTTCGATTGTTCAGGTATTAATGAAGAGCCATGATCAACCGGTATACAAACACAGGATACATAATATTTGTTTTTATCTTGACGTCTAAGTGATATAAAAATTGTAGTAAGGTACACAGCCTCTAGTGATGTTGGTAAGAAAATTTATATCAATATGACTATGATCACCATAGCTATTAAGAGAAGTAAACAAACACTCCTTCGTTTGACAACAATTTTCTGGTTTCCTGTCAGATTTAATTAATCCTTATATATTATTTTACTTTTTGACTTGTTGTAAATATCAATGACGTGACCGGATTATATGCTACTAAAAGTAATACAGTTAAGTTAAATATTTTTGTTATAATCACTTGTGATAGACATAAAATTGCTACCTGAAGGAGAAGACGCTTACTCTTACGAAACACATGGTCGTATTGTCTTGTACTTTTTCAGGAGTCTCCGTGTAAATCTTTCTTTTGTTCTTATTTTGCCCTAGTTTTATAGAATTTGAGTTTGAATCACGATACTGTTGCCATGTTGGTATTTTCTTGATTTTTTCTTATATTGAAAGTACCTCGTCTGTATAGGATTAAATCTCATACGTTACCAACATGCACAATTAGATATTCTATTTATTACCTTATCCTCAATCTACAGCATTATCAATCGTTTTCTTTAAGACAAAAATGAGTATTATCAAAATAAAGATATCCGATGGTCATATCAGAACCTTGGCCTGTGATATACATAGTCGTAGACACGTTTGTTACAGTGACATACTTAAATACATAACACATGTATGACACAGGTTACTTCACAAATGTATCTCAATCTTAATTTGTAGTGAAAGGTTCTCTCCACTCTTGTTTCTTTTATACAAACCTGGATGACATTGGTGAAATAACAGATATTTCATAAAGATTGTACAATAGACACAAAACAGAAAAAGCAAGCACATATAAATACAAGTCTAGTTTGAGGAATAGTAAAGCCAAACAAATCATTACATTGGATCACACAATTGTTTCGTATTACATACAGTATAACCATTCAAAACAATTAATCGATCAAAAAAATACATTTTTTTTTGTGCGTGCTCATATGTCCATGGAATCATGTCATGTTTTGGACGTGCATAGTCTTCTCTTCAAGACCGTAAATATTTTTTTACTTACAGACATTAAGTATACAACCAAGAACATAACAAATAAAAAATACATCATAAAAACATGAAAACATGTTTTCTAGACACGTAAAACAATAAAAATTATTTATATAAAAAAGAGATATTAAACATTTAATAACAACAACAATACATCTACATAATGTATAATGTATACAAACAATAAAGGTAATAAACAATGATGACATAATATCAAGTAGCAGTATCTTCATTAAGAATTGTATTTTTAGACTGAGTATTTCATTTCCCCGTACATCACTTGCACTGCGTTGTTACTGTAACGATGAAAGAGAATCGTTTCAAAAGGAATTTCTGATTCTGATAATCTAACAAGTGGAGAAAAGTGAAACGAAAACAGTTGATTATTTCACAATCGTACAGATAAATTAACTGATAAAGATAATTAACTGTGAAATGATAATGATTATTAATATGCCATGTTTGTCTATGGTAGAGTATTTGTTTGTTGTTGTTGTTTGTTTTTTTTTCTTTTTCTTTTTGTTGTCATTTTTGTTCAAATAAGCATAACATCATTCTTTTAGAATTAGGAAGCGATCACTTTCTATGAAAGCAAATGTAGATTACATGCTATCCTATAGATTGTACAAAGGGCACGCAAGTGAATTGCATCTTTGAAAAAAAATGTTATAACTTATATTACAACCGTCTAGATATCAGTTTGGAAAGTTTTTAATTTTGCTTATTGTCAACATCTAGACGAGGAAAGGCACTTGCTCCATAATACATCATGTTAATTAAGACATGAAAAATAACATAGTATTTCAACTATCGGTTGATAAAGATAATAGTGAATAAAATGTATGAAGCGAGTTTGTTCATATTCCGGCCTTTATTGTTGAAAGTGTTAAAAGTGTTGAATATTCTCATGTTGTGTCTTTTGATTAACCCTGCATTTTATTGATGAGCAATTACAGATTAATATTTAACTCTAAATTCCAATAAAGAATTACTTTATTCACAAAATATTTCTATTTTCTTTGCTAGAACACATAAATGAAACCAAAAAAATTACTAAGTTAGAACCAACCAATACATTTTTTCTTTAAATTTTGATTAATTGGTGGTGTAAAAGGTAAATAAATGAAGTTTGTGCAAAAGTTGAGGTAAAAGGATGGGTTCCATTGTAAAAGAACAAAATATATCGAAAATCGTACTACCCATGAAAGATTGGAAAGGTAGTATTCCTAACCCGAATCGAGGATTGGAGTTGTTATCATGGAAGGTAACTACATGGTTAGACATATCTTTTCAAGCAAATATTCATTATCTTGCCATATTGATATTTTGACCCTTACTGGTCACTTCTGACCATTACAACTTGTCATTTATCCTACTTAATACTTGATAACTACTAACTGCTACCTAATGCCAGTCGGTTACCAGTTTGTTTTTCTGATCACTCCAAAAATCAAACAGTCACAACTAAGGGCCAAGGGGAACATACATATGATAATTGCGGGAGATCATTCCAGTAGTATTTTTAAAGATATAGAGATAACCATCTTTCTTTACAAAAATCAAAGATGGTCACCTGTCGGCCATTTTGTTTTCCTGATAAGTCCTACAATAACAGCCAAGAACTAAGGGAAACCTACGTAATGAAATTTGCGAGAGATTGATCCAGTGTTTCTCAAGAAATAGCGATAGTAAACTGTCATTGTAGAAATCCAAGATGGCTAACTGACGGCCATTTTGTTTTTCTGATTTGCTGTTGAAATTAGATTACTTTGACTTCTGATGAAATAGTAGAAAAGTGTTTTGTCAAATTTAATGAATACTCTTGTTACTCACGAATCGGATAACTTCCGAACTATTTTTTTTCAATAAATGCAGAACAGCTTAATGGAATTTCACTATAAAATTGGAAATACACTGAATATGAAAAAAAGATTCGCCCTGTAACAGATTTCACTTTATGATCATATAATATTATATAATCAAAAATTCAGTCCAGTATATAGTTGCAATCTTCCATTCACTTGCGTATGCCTTTACACCCATTCAGTCAGGTTGTATAGTGAATTCTATCAGTTGCATCACAACGAGTACATCACTGTTTAGTTTAAAATTTTAACTCACATTTCATGCAAAGTTCACCCATATAAGATGTAATCCGATAACTTATTTTACTAAAGAATTCTTTATGTTGTACTCTGACATTTTATCGAGTGTGTCTTTGATCGGCACTTATTTCCATACTTTCAGACAGCTTTAACGACTGTGTTCTTGGCTGTATCTAGTGAACGTATGATAATTCAGTCTCGAAATGTATTTAGTAGTTCCCTGATGTAGTTAGAAACTGTTGATAAGTATTCATCTGTTGTAGATCTACAGGCATTGCTAGCTCTTCTAATCAATATTGCTTGTTTCTTGTGCGCCTTCTGTCTCTTGTTTCCTCCATGACATTGCTAGCCCCTCCACAGTCTCCTTGTACTTTACTGCTTTCTTATAATTGTTGCTACACTTGGATTCGTGGAGGGAGGACACCAACATGTCACAAATTTTACGAGCTTCCTCAAGATCAGAAGGTGATTCCCCCTTGATATAACACTCTACGAGACCAAATTGACCTTGAAGTTTGAAATGGGACAACCTTTGTAAGTTGTATTCTTCCTCCAGCTTAACAGCCAGTTTAAAATGATTGATAGCCCTGTCCATTTCATAATTGACGGAGAACTTCGCTAGCTGCACATGAAACCCTGGAACAGCCAGCCACTGACGCATTTGACGATCCTGTAGAAGTTCTTCGAGTTTACTTGCGTATTCCTCACCTTTTTGATGGTGACGGTCTCTGTCCTCCTTTTTACTGGCGTTTGCTATCCGTTTCGTATAACATTTTAGGAGAAGCTTCAAACACATTGCGTCATGGTGCAGACGTTGGTGCTGGCTCACTTTGATGATCCCGTATTCAAAATATTTCGATTCTTTTGCATTGAGCATCTTTTCATATTTGTGGATAATTTTGTCCATGGCAGTGACATTCTCTTTCCCTGATTTTCCTGTTTGTTTGCTACCGTAAAGGCAAATATACAAAATGCCGTTTCTCTCGGTGATAAGGCGTTGTACAGAAGGAAATTCGGGATAGTTCTTTTGCAATTGTTCGCCAAGAAAATATGCAAGTCGCAACTCATTACAGCTCACCAAGGACAACTGTTGTTCTGACTTTCTTTGATTGTAATGGTGTCTTCCGTTATTGTAAAGAATGATGATCATCATTTCCACAACACATACTGCACCTAACTTATCTCGAGGCATCGCAAGTTTTTTAGTGAGCAGCTTTTCATAAAGTTCCTCGCTTAGTCGACCTCTTTTACGTTCATCAACATGTTTCAGTCTTTCGGGTAATTCAGCAACTTTTTCCAAATGATCCAAATCATGTACAGTTCTTTCTGTTTCTATAATGATATCTGCTATTAAATCTTTCGGGAGCTGTTTTGAAACAGTAATTAGACGATTGTACAATAATTCTACTTTTGCATCTTTAGCTCTTGCGTTTTGGTAGTGTTTTTCTAACTCACTCTCGCGATCTGTTTTAACATTTGTTATTTCTTCTTGATTTGCAAAAAGTTGAGAAAATATTTTAAATGTACTGTCTGACCGGAATAAGTCTTTCTTGCTTTCACCAATATATCCTGTGCTTTCTAAAGAATCGATTTCTTCTTTTGTGAGCATAAACGACTCGGGATCAGGTTCATCAATGAGCTGAAAACAAAGTGATTTTGCTTTGTTTAAATGTTCGTCTGCTAATAAGCCTTCTATTCCTCCGACTCTGTAACTCACCCCAATGGCTGCGTGAAGGGCGCACAAGAGAAATACGCACTTTTGCTCTTTCGATGATTTAATCTGAACTGCATGTACCGTAATTTTCGTAGCATGAGGCAGATATTCTAAGTTGCTGGTCAAAGTTAAATGAAGCCTGCAATCAATACTAATATTTTTGCAAAAGAAACACAGCAAGTCCTGTATGGCTGTCTCCTTTTCATCCGCGGTTAATCTGAGCTCTAACACCAAAGCTGTTACTGCGTGGATGGAGATTGCTTGTGTGTGGTTTTCTGATTCAATTTCACCAATACAGTACTTTCGGACGTTCGCTATTAAGTCATAAATAACGGTGTCTTTGTCCCTGTTGTCAATGATTTCTGGAAGTAGTTTTCTCAGTAACCTAATCGGAATTCTGCTGTGATGCAGAAAAGGTATGAAACGCAACAGTGATTTCACATGAACTGATGAAGATTCCTCCACTTTGTTAACGGCAAGCATCTGTGCTGAAATCAACCCTTTGTCATATTCTTGACTCGTTCCTCTTATCAATTTTTCAACTGTTTCAAGAAATTCTTTCTGCGAGAGTTGTTCTACATACTTTTTCACCGGCATTCCAGTGGTAAATATATAGGAATTTGCGAGAACCAAACCATATGGCAGATGTCCCATTTTGATTGCTAAATCCTTGATGTCCTTTTCTGAATTCTTCATTTTAACTTGTTCCTTAAAGAATTTCAGAGCTTCTGATGGCGAAACTCCTTCCACTTTCACGAAAACATCCTTATCAGTACATTGCTCGTAGAATTTTGCGTAGCTAGTAGAGCATAGTATTTTAACATTCTCCGCACTTTGAAATGAATGAATGATGTGTTCAACCACCTTACAGGTCATTTCAGTGACGTCGTCAAATACAAACAGATATTGTTTTCCGATTTTGTTTCCACTCTCAATCAAAGACATTGCAACTTCCGCCATATGCTTAATGTAGTCTCCCTTTGTTTCTGTCCGTCGTTCAAATTTCATCTTGGAAAATTCAAGAAAGTCCCTGAAGCTGGTTAACAAGTCATCTTCATTAACACACCGAAGTTTGCATGTTGTTTGTTTTTTTCGAAATTTGGAAGCATACCAAATGCAAATTTGTGATTTTCCAGAAGCTGATATCCCTACAAGAGCCAGATAACAGAAATTAGTTTGTATTAAGATTTACTATTGTTCGTGGATCCGAAGGCGTAAGGTCATAACTGTATTCAGGATGATTTCTATGAAAGAAATCTAAGAAACAGAGTTTTACAGAGATGAAAGTTGTGATTATCTCAGGATAACATAATTTCTTGTGAATCTTGTGCAGGCCTAGGGAGATAGCACTTACCGTTTAAGACTACCAGGTTTTCTTTTTTAAAACGTTCTTCAACTTCATAACACTTTGCAGTCTCAATGAAGTTTGGCACGAGCTCCTGCCACATGGAACTCTCCTTTGCTGTTAGAACAAGGAAACAATTAACTTTTCATACTTCATCATAAACAATGAGTAAGAGTATTAGTTGTATATCAGATAAAGAAATTTTAGAGAAAAGAAAGAATGATGAAGGAATGTTTTACAATAAGACACACGAAATAAGAGATATATCTACCAGTCTTTGTCTCGAGTGTAAAGAATTTAAAATAAAGATACACGGTAAATATTATTAGGATTCGGTAAAAGGACAAAGCAGATTAAAAACATTTATACAATAATAAAAATGATTAATTTGGGTTTACAAATTTAACATCAACGGGAAAGGTAAATAGCTGATAATATATATATATAAAACAAAGAATTGATATATTGCTTATCTATACATGTATGTATATACCTGAGTGGATCATTTGTTGCTTGCTTTCATATTCACAAAGCATACAAAGGATTTTATTTCTGTTCCTACAGTGTTTTATTTCCTTGAATGCAGTTTTTAAATAAGTTACGTTGTCTTTGCTTATAATTTCCTTATTCTCTAGGCATTCTAGGAATTCTTTTGCTGTATCCCCCAAACTATCCTCTTCAGAAATATTCCTATGTTCTCGTACAATATACCTCAGGTCTTCAAAAGTTTCTACAAATAAAATATGAGAATGTCATTATTAAATTCGAGCAAAGATAAAATGCCAACCGCTTTACAAAACCTAAAGGAATTGTTTATGATTATCAATTAATTACTTTCGTTATAGAAAAACGTCTGAATGTATTCAACTCAGTTAGGAAAGCAAAGATGTTTACTGTCTTTTTTTTTTTCAAAGTGTGTAACATCCTTGTCAATGATTTCCAAAGCAAGAGTTACTTACCCTTACTATTCTCTAACTGATCAATTATATCCAGCAACAGTTTTTTGAAGTCACTTTCCGACGCCATTTTATTCAACTTTCCATATGAAAGTGTTCCTCCTAATTAAAAATGAAATCATGCAATTGTTTATACTTTTTGTAACATTACTCTTATTACATCGTACTTATATGAAACTCGTAACATAAAAGATAAGTCAGCGAGGAAATAAAAAATTGTTTAAAGTGAAAGAACTCGGTTCCACGTGTTACAGAGATTGTATGATAAAGACTTCACAGCGTCGCCAACTAATCTGATCTTGTCAAGTCAATTTGGTAATGGCCATACCAGGACGTATTTACATCATGAACATTTCTAGAACCTCCTCATATCACTTTAAGTTTTTAAGTGGATATAATATAGTCAAAATAATGTTCATCCTTGATTTTGAATACGATAGTATTAGTAATAACAGGATAACGACAGTCTGTCCATTACAATATTTTACTATAATATTTAATGTAATTATATGTAATGTATGACTTTTCATACCGACTTTAATTACATTTCCCTTTTAAAAGGGGGAGGATTTCAAATTTTAAACTCAATTTTTTTCCCCGCTATATTTTCAACACAAAGTCCCCTTACCAATCAATGATTGAGATCGAACAGATGTAGAGAAATAAAATCTGGAAACTCCGTTTCATTTCAGAATATTTCATTGTCAGGATTTTGACAACACGTGGAAGTACGCAACAGACATAACCTATGAATGCCCTCTCCATATCATAAGGAAACCCAAATATACAGACACGTCAATGAAATAGTCAGTAAATTATAGAATGGTATCAAATAACACTGCGAATGTTACACAAGAATCTAGGATATAGTTTTAAAGAAATAAATAAACAAATGTATAGGAATAAGTGAGTACACTTAACAACAGAACGACCACAATTACAGACAGGGCTATTAACTAGGTAGGAATCACATAAATCCTATTTCAAATTACTGGCAGAGCTTCTTAGTTTATATAAAACTGTATTTACCTTCTTGTTTTCATATTATTTATCAGTGCACTGGCGATGTACATCAGTAACTGGTTTTGACAAAAGTATTTGTATAGCACATATGGATGTCACTGTGGAAAACAGACAAGATGGGTTAATCAATCTAGACATTCCTTACTCCTTTTATCTTACTTATCGTTCTCCAGACACTATTATTAAGCCACATTATCACATAACAAAATTATACCCGTACGCTATCAGGAGTCGAACTATGAATGTTTGTATATGATTTTGAAAAAAACGTTACATACATCATTGTGTTATTCTAACAATAATTAGTATCACAGCAATATAGACACCAAGCCCTGCAGACACTGTACAATAACAATCCGAACTCTGTGAAACAGTCCAATAATTAGTATTCTTTATCTAGGTCAATGACACATAAAGGTCTTGAGAACTGCATGACTACAACCATAACAATAACTAAAAAACTACTACTTGAAATTTTACACCGCGGTTGCTCTGTTTAACTGTGTTGTCAATTATATCATATATGCAGTGCACAGTACAGCGGTAACCCATACAAGGAATTATTGACCGATTGTAGATTATATAGCACCTCAATAATACATGTTAAAAGCCATTTTCCTGTACTACTTATATTCATTACAATGATTTTATCTAATTACAGTAATTTAAGGAAAATATTGGCTTCAGAGATTTCCTGTTAGGATTTTTATGTATCAGATACTTAATTGCAATTCGAACATTTCCGTACTTTGATACTGTAGAAACAATACATCAAACCAGGAAGTGATTCTCATTTTTTATTCTTGTCACATAAGCTAAAGAACTGTACATACATATCGTCCGCTAGATGGGAAACAATACTTACCTTTGTTTGACATGTAACATCATGTTTAAACAAGGCAGTCACTGGTTAATCCGTATACTTAATCCTGCACTTAAACACAACGTTATATAGGCCACACACATTACACTCCGAAGTCTACACGTAATCATCGGCACCTATATATAGACGATGGGCGTGGTTACGTACCCGTTAACCAATAATTTTCCACTGACCTTATATTACGCATATATAAGTTCCGTCATAGTATAGTGCACGATTTTAATAAGATATGCACTTTTGTGGAGACAGAGCACGATTTTGTGTGCATCATTAAAGAAAGTTTCCTCTTTTATTGCGACAGATGTAAATCTATTTTTTATTTTAACTTGGAAATGAC